ACCACTGCCTCGACTAGATGATTTGTTGGATCGAGTGCAGGGCTGCAAATACTTTTCTAAGATAGATTTGCAGTCAGGCTATCATCAGATAGAAATCCATCCTGATGATCAACACAAGACGGCGTTCAGGACCAGATATGGGCACTATGAGCTTATAGTGATGCCCTTTGGACTAACCAACGTGCCAGCTACGTTTCAGCACTGTATGAATGAGTTGTTTAGGCCGTGGTTAGATAGATTTGTAATTGTCTATCTAGATGACATCGTAGTGTTTAGTAAGACCCTCCAGGAGCATGAGGGCCATCTAAGGCACGTCTTGGGGAAGCTGAGAGAAGCTAACTTGAAAATCAATGCGAAGAAGTGTGAGTGGGCCAAGACACAAGTTTTATACCTGCGCCATGCCCTAGATGGAGATGGTATAAAACCTGAGGACAGTAAGATAGCAGCGATTAGAGATTGGTCGACTCACCTCACACTGACAGAGTTGCGGTCGTTCTTGGGGCTGGCAAATTATTATAGAAAGTTCGTCAGGAACTTCTCCACCATCGCTGCTCCCCTTCGTAGGTTGTTAAAGAAAGAGGCAATCTGGAAATGGGATAAAGACTGCACATCAGCCCTGAAGAAGTTAAAGTGAGCCTTGATAGGGTACCCAATCCTCAAAGTAGTCGATCCGTCTTTGCCTTTCATTGTTAGCACTGATGCAAGTCAGTATGGTATAGGTGTTGTTCTACAGCAAGACAATGGCAATGGATATAGACCCGTAGAATTCATGTCTGCTAGAATGCCTTCAGAAAAGGTAGCGACATCCACCTATGAGAGAGAACTCTACGCTCTCCGGCAAGCGTTAGATCATTGGAAGCACTACTTGCTTGGGAGGCACTTCAAATTGTATTCAAACCACGAGATGCTAAGGTGGCTGAAAACGCAGGCCAAGATGACACCTAAGCTGACTAGGTGGGCCGCAAAGATAGATCAATATGACTTTGAGCTCAAGCCAGTCAAGGGAAAATACAATGTAGTTGCGGACGCCTTGAGTAGGAGATCAGACTACTTCGGAGCGATAGTGCACTATCTGGATAAGGGAGAGACCTGCAACAGAGAGTTAAAGAAGCGTACGTGCAGGACCCTATCTATAGCGACCTCCTCAAGAGAGTTAAGGAGGCTCCAAAGTCAGAACGAGATTACCGCACTACAAATGGCTCGTTATTTTAGAAGACTAATGTTGTTGACCGTCTATGCGTTCCCAATAGCGAAGAGATCCGAAGTCTGATCTTAGGGGATGCCATGATACAGAGGGACATTTCGGTTGCCAGAAGACACTAGCCAACCTCATGCGCGCATATACCTGACCTGAGATAAAGGCCGACTGCATAGAATACGTACGCAGTTGCAAAGTTTGTCAAAGGAATAAGACTACTACGCAAGCCCCTCTCGGTCTTCTCAGAACCTTGCCTATCCCCGAAGGACCCGGAGATTCAGTGTCTATAGACTTTATGGACGCTGGTGTCAAAAGTAGACATGGCAAGAGCCAAGTCATGGTCGTAGTAGATAGGTTTAGCAAGTATGCCATTTTTGTTCCTTTGCCCTTTGAGGCACACAAAGAGTTAGTAATACAGAAGTTTTTCGACCATTGGGTCAGTGAACATGGGGTACTGTTGTCTATAGTTAGTGACAAGGACACCCGATTCACTAGTCAGAACTGGCAGGAGTTAATGAAAGTCTACGGATCAAAGTTGTTAATGTCATCTGGCCGCCATCCAGAGACCAACGGTCAGACTGAGCAGATGAACAAAATCCTGCAGCAAGTTTTGAGAATGTACATTAGGCCCGACCAACTTAACTGGGATGAGATGCTCCCAAAGGTAGCCAGTGCTTACAACAATAGCATGCACTTAGCCACTTGTCGCACTCCCAACGAGCTACATAAGTCTTTTAAACCACGCAGACCGTTTGAAGGACTTAACCAGGATCAGATTCAGAGGCTAGCGCCCGGTACCAGGGAATTTGCGATACAGCACGAGAAAGAGATTGTTACAGTAGTTGAGAGCCTCACGAAGTCAAAAGAGTTCGCTCCTGAGGAGAACATCTTGCAAAAACTGCTACCTGCATATAGAGGACCGTGGCCAGTCCTAGAAGTTGAGGGCGGAGAGGATGGGCCATCCTACACAATAGAGATTCCAGCGCACCTCCACACCTACCCAATTTTCCATGCATCAAAGTTGTTACCTTGTACTACGAGTCAACAGTTTCCATCACGAAGGTCTATGATCCCTCCGGATATGGATGGAAGGTACGGCATTGATGGCATAGTAGGTGAGGATGTCTTTAGAATAGGAGGTAGAGGTCGTCCACAGAAACAGTACAAAGTCAGATTCTCTTGTCAAGAACCTGGAGACGACTGCTGGTACACCAGAACAGAACTTCTAGAGAAAGCTCCCGATATAGTCCGAGCCTATGAGAGAGATAAGGAGGGTAGAGGTCCTGCCTTAGACTGAAGTATTCTCGGATGACCTCGAATTTAGGCCGGCGGGAGTGAAACGGTTTTCACCTTTGCAGAAGCAGATGCAGACCCCAGGGTTCGATCCCTAGACATGACCTGCACCCGTGTACAGAGAGTAGACCCCTGTGTGTTTTGAGCCCGCGACCTGTGTTTTAGTAGTGACTGTTGTTTGTCGTAGGTCCCTGTAGCTGTAGGGGTTCGAGAGGTCGGAACTGCTAGGCTAGAGGTCTGTAGGCAAGTCGTAAGTCCAACTACGTCGAGTCAGCAGTGCAACTCCTTGCAGTCAGCGATACCGGTCCCAGTCACACTTAGTCCAGTCAAGCAAGTACTGTGTGGGACTGTGTGCACCAAGGGCCTGGTGGAAAAGGGCAGACCAGCGGCCAACAAAAGTAAAAATCAAGAGGCAGCATCCAGCAATATTCATTCATTCTGCTGTGACCCAGGCGGAAGCGCTGCCAATGCGCCTTCTGCTAGGTGGTATGCAGGAAGCCGGAAGTGAAGTGGGCAGTTGGAGAGTTAGAACAGACATAGCTGCTAGTTGAGATGATGGTAGAGGGCAGCCATCGCTGCGATAGGAAGAGTAGCGATCAGCGTTTGTGTGTGTACATGTGCAATGAGCGTGTGGGTACATGGGATATCGAGGGAGATCCAGTGTGAGTTGTGTGTGTGTGTGTGTAAACATTTTGTGTGTGGTGTTGGCTGTGAGAGTTGGGCACTGGGTCGCCCTAGTCAACCTAAAGCGAGTTTGTGTCCAACCTGTGCTCTCGACTTGAATATCTCTGAGCTTTGTGTAGGAGCTTGACGCCAGAGTGATTTGCCATCTGTTTACATGCATGCGAAGTATGCCTGCTTTATCTATTAGTGCTTGGGAATCTTTGTTTGCTTTAGCTATTGCTTGCTTTGTGCTGTGGGACTTTGTGCTTTAGCTATTGGACTTTGTGCAGAGCCAAAGAATGATACCCGATTGGATCACCATCTGTACTATTGCTTGCTTTAGCTATTGCTTGCCTTGTGCTGTGGGACTTTGCACTTGGTAACCCCATAACAGCATCCAAAACAGAACCTTTGGGCTTGGACTTGCATTTCCAAAGAAAAAAATTCATACAATGATGTGTTTCCATGCACGTTTGTGGATTCATTCTTTTTGAGCTCTCGCAGACCTGGTTGTCTACAAACAGTTTACGCAAATGTCGAAAAAATGTATAATTGTGAGTCGTTGCCTTGCGCTTCTGTGGGTTCAGTCGTTTCGCACTCTAACAGTCGGTCTTTTCGCACTCTTAACAGTCCTTGTTTTCGATAAAACAGTGTATGCAAACCTTTCCAAGATCTTGGGGCAGCGAAATAGGGCATCTTTCGGACCAAGGACAAAAGCCATAGCAATGTAGGAGGTGGACTGGGGGGTAGTTGCTGGTGCCGGGTTTCAAAAATGTAAACGTATTCCTAGACTTAGTGCGAGAAAACAATAAGAAATTAGTTCAAGAAGTACTAAAAAAGGTGCCAGTGGCAAAGGTACCCCTTGAGGTAATAAAAAACTCAAAAAATGAAGTCCATGAGTTTGAAATCCCACTATAGTAAGCCCAATAAAAAGAGAGAATGAAAGACCAAAGGTGACCACAAAATGACTTGTCACTGTAAAACTATAAGGAATCATGCCAATAAGATTACAAAATAACAAAAAAGTAAAAGTGACAAAGATGAAAGGAAAAAATCGTTCGTTGTTTAACTGCTGGTACACCACTTAGGGTTATAGAAGGTGACATTACCACAGCCTGGCGGCTGCCTCACTGGCCCTCACAAGGTTATTCTAGGAATTCTTTCAGAAGAAATTGCTTGTGAAAAAATTATGAGCTTAGTCCGAAAATCCCTAAGTGTTGAGTATTGCCTTTTGCACCTCTTTGATCACTATTTTTATACACTCTGTTGTTTTGGATACAATTTGAGAATTCTACAGCTAAATTCCAATTTGTACAGTGCTTTGCAGGCGCTCGCAAGAGATCACTTTTTCAAAGTAATGATGCGCTGCAGCCTTGGTGTCATGATACTGAAACTCCGCCAAAAAAAAATGAAAGCAAGTACAAATGTGGTAGTAGTCATTACCCATGCACAACTAGAAGCCACTGAATGAAGCAGTAGCTGACAGGGTGGGTGTTGACTTACTCTGCTGGCCAATGGATAACAGCGCTGCTGCTCAATTTGACCGGGAACTGCACAGATTGGCTGCATTCATTCAGTGCGAGCTGAAGTAGGCACACAGCGATACGCAAAGACTCCTAAAAAAGAACTCCAAAAATGCTGCTGCATTTGCAGGTTTCTGATAGCGCTTCAGTACCCTGACTATTCCTTGTCTGTGCCTGTTCTCCATGTCTCTCAGTCACATCGCCATCACAGGCAGGGCAATCCACCGCCAGTGCATGCAGCAGCAGCACAAGAAGAAGAGGAAGAAGAGGGAGTACTACCCGTACGTGGGAACGAGGACAGAAACAGTGGCCACCATTCTTACCGCCGCCGATCAGCAGGACGGCATCCTTTCAGCGCAGAGGAGTGACCATTCATTGTATAGAACTGCGGATAATTGTCACGGTCGTTATCATGAGCAGCAGCAGCAGCAGCAGCAGGAGTGAAAACGGTGGCCATGGCTCTCACCGCCGCCGATCAACAGGACGACATCCTTTCAGCGCAAATGTGTGACCATCCACAGATTGAGAAGCCATAGTACTGCAGATCATCGTCTTGGTGGTCATCGTGAGCAGCAGCAGCGGGCGTGGCCCTAGCATAAACAGAATGGACAGGATAGGAGGAAGACGTAGTGTGTGTGTGTGTGTGTGTGTGTGTGTGTGTGTGTGTGTGTGTGTGTGTGTGTGTGTGTGTGTTGGGGAGGGGAGGCGTGGAGCTGGGGGGAGGTAAAGGTGTCCGTCAGCCCTGATAGCATAGTCGTTATTTCCTTCTCTTTTTTTCTTGGTTTGACCCACGTATTCTCCATTAACTTTTCTTTTTTAGGTTCCGCCCACACTTATTCATCCTGCCATGACTCATAAGGTAACGTGTGTGCACGTATTCGTGGGCTTGCCAACAAGTTCAGTGAGTTTTCTGTGTCAGCTGAAGGTTTGGTTTTGCTTAAAAAAACTCATTTCAGATTGTGGTTCGGAGGGTTTGCCAGCGCTTGTATTCATCACAGATACTGCAGTCTGTGTGGCTGAGGTGCGACTGGAGCGATGCCCTGAGTGTGGGCTGACTCGCGGAGGTGATGGAGATGGTGTGCAAGCGGGACACATCACGCAGGACACCATGGACATTACACTCCAACAGAGTACATCAATATAATCTCAGCTATGGCGCAACCGTAGAGGGCAAGCAGAGCCCACAGCCGGGTACTGGGCACTGGGGCCAGGCTGCGGGCCTGTTCACACGGGCGAGTACCACTGGCAGACTAAAACAGGTAGGGCCTGAATATTACCGCTACATAACGACACCCCTCCACCCGTCATGTATGGTTTTTTTTTTTTTTTTTTTTTTTTTTTTTTAAAGAACCCCTGCGACCACGCTAAGGGGAGTGATATGAGCATCCCCTCCTAGCAGGCCGCCTGGTTGCTTTACAGTGTGTATATATTTCTTTCATATTAGATGCATGCAACAGTGTCCCTTTCATGCTGGCCAACACATTGGGGTTGCAGAGTATATACTATCTACTTGAAAAAGCAGGAGAGCTTGACAAGGACTTTCACCGGACTTTCACAAGTTCAAGTCATGGCTGCACTCTTGTTGAGTTGATCTGATCTGCAGATTCTGCGATCCATCTGCCTCATGCCCTTTTTTTTTTCTTTTTTTTCTTTTTTTCTTTTTTTTTTGTAAGAACAATTGGAACATTTGTTACATTTTTTCTCGATTTATGTGTGTGATCCATGCGCAGGACCACCCATGCTAATCTTCTCTGTATCGTTCCAATTCTAACGAATGTCCTGCGGGACATCTGCGTCATCCCAAGGTGCAAGTGGGTGTCAAACCCTATAATACCTATTGTGACAGAGCTTTATGTGTTTTGCTGAAGGCTTCCCTTGTGGTTGGATGTACAGGCATGCCCACACTAGGTGAAATCCATGCATGATGGAAGACCGTCAGAGGTCCACAGTAGGGTCACGTATTGTGGCTTAAACCGGCCGTACACCCGGGCCTGGAGACGCTGCACTGCGCCCCAAGCTTTTCCGAACCACCAGCGGCACACTTGTTTTCTTTTCTGGCTGGCTCCGCCAGCCATTGGGGTCCAGTAGGCCCGATGCGCGAAGTTTTCGGACTAGGTTATGAGCAAATCTCCGTAAGGCTGGGGGCGTGTACCAGCATATTTTAAAGGATCAGTAGGGAGCTCTGCAGCTTGTCAGTGTTCACTGTTCAGCCTCTCCGCGGGTTGGTAAAAACCTGGCAAAAGTCTGTCACAGTGCCTATCTTGTTCTTCTTTTTCTTGCTTTCTGTCAACAATTTCAGTGGGGCGGTCCTTGGGACAACGTGTGTTTTTTCAAATCATAGCATACCATGCCATGTCGAAAAAAAAAAAAAAAAAAAAAAAAAAGCATACCATGCTGTGTCCATCCTCTCAGATATGTGTCGTACGAGATTTGGCCAGGACCCAATCCAACCTTTTATGTGTTCCTATGAGCCAAAAGCATCGGCATACAGATATAGAACAACAGAGCACGATATATCTGGCAGGTTAGCTAACAGACCTGAGAGGAAAGAGAAAAGCAGGGCAAGCTGACAGTCAATCCTCCACTACGTTGGAGTAATCAATGCTGTTCAGGGGTCCTTCGGCCAATGTTTATTCAGACTTGCCGGTGGAATAGGAACCGGACTGACGCTCCCCAGAATGGAAAAGGAGCCAGGATCGTAAGGTCCTGTTTAAAGGAAAAAAAAAAAAAAAAAGAACAGAAACAGACAGCACATAAGGATACAGCATAAAAGAAACACAAGAGTAGCGGCAGACTGTTTTGTCAGACTTGAGCCGATTCATCAGGAGTTTGAACCCTAGACAGTCTGCAGCCGTCAGGAGGCTGAACCCTGGACAGTCTGCAGCGTTCGCTCACAATGCTTTGAGCCAGAATCGAGATTCAAACCCTGTTGCGGATGCGGAAAACACAGGAAAGTATGCAGTGCAACGTCGACAAGGCAATATATAGCGAAGTAAAGGAGGCAGGCAGCAAGACAGGTGGGCACAACAAGGCAGCAACACAAGGCAACAGGCAACAGGCAGCAGGGCAACAAGGCAGCAAGGTGGCAAGCCAAGGCGAGGCGAGGCGAGGCGAGGCGAGGCGAGGCGAGCAGCAACGCATTAAGGCAGCAACACGAGCACGATAAGCAGCAAGGCAAGGCATGGCAAGGCATGGCAAGCAGCATGTTAGCAAGGAAGCAGCATATCAACACGGCAGCAAGGCAAGATACGGCAAGCAGCGTGTTAACAAGGAGGCAAGGCAAGGCAAGGCGAGGCGAGCAGCATCTAAACGAGGCAGCAAGGCATGGTACAGCAAGGAGCATGTCAGCACGGCAGCAAGGCAAGGCAAGGCACGGCAAGCGGCATGTGAACAAGGCAGCAAGGCAATGGACGGTAGGCAGCAAAGGCGAAGCACAGCAAGAGCACGTCAACAAGGCAGCGAGGAAAGGCAAGGCAAGCAGCATGTTAGCAAGTTAGCAAGGCAAGGCACATCAAGCAGCATGTTAACAAGGCAGCAAGGCATGACAAGCAGCGAAGCAGGTCAAGCGGGCAGGGTAGGGCAAGGCGAGCAAGCAGCTAGGCCAGGCAAGTAGGGCAAGCGGGCAAGGCAACATGAGGCAAGGGAACAAGTCAAGGCACATAGTTCAACAGCACAGCAAGAAGCAAGGGGAACAAGACACTGGAAGGCAAGGCAAGCGGGGGGGAGGGACACCAACACAGGAACCCATGGGCGCAGCAAGGAAGAAAGTGAAGTATCACCCACTTGCAGCAGGCTGTTGGTTCGCGCCCCGTCAAGAGCCTGGAAGTTATAATGCATTAGTAGCTGGGAACTGGGTCCAGTGTCCCTTACAGAAATACAACCCACGCATCCCTTCTTTATGGTCAAGAGACCCTGAGATGGAGCCATTGATTACTTCTCAAGTGAGAAGGACATAGCACCACTCCACCCTTGTAGCCTTTTTCACTTGTGTCCCTTACATCCCCCTACAGTAGCCCTTACATCTCCCTATGTTAGAAACTAAGTTCAACCCAGAGTCCTTATGTTCTAGAACAGCTTCTGCGATCATCTGACCAAACACGGCGTGTTTTACTTCTCGGAATGAAACTCCTTTAAACACCACTACCTCCGATCCTGTTTTTGCCGACCCTTGCCAAGCCTGGCGCCCATTGTATTTTCTTTCCTGGTACTCACAGCATTTACATCCGAAAAAGAAAAAAAGAAAAAAAAAAAGAAGAAGAAGGAAAAAAGAAACTTCCCTAAAGCCGTCATAGCCATCAGATACATTCTACGAGGTGTTTGTGAGACTGTGCCTTCAGTGAGGGAGTCTGTCCGATGAAGAAGTGAAGAATGAAGAGAGAAAGAACATCCCTTATGCTGTGATCGCGGTCAGATGCAGGAAGGCACAGTACTAGGGTTTTTTTTTTTTTTTAATAATCAGCACTAGTTTGAACCCGCATGGAATCTGCCCTGCCTCACTGGCAGGGCACCATAAGGACAAGAAAGGGAAAAAAAAAATAAAAAAATCAGCAATCATGTTCCACACATGCTGGCCAGATACATCCTATATGAGGTGCTACTGAGACTGTGCCCTCAGTTAGAGCGTCTGTCCAATCAAGAAGTGAACAAAAAAAAAAAAAAAAACGTCTCTTATGCTGTGATCGCAGTCCGGTACAGGAACCTACAGTACAAGTGTGAGTAAGAGGTGAGTGAGGCAGTTTGTTGCCCTGTGTGGAATCCGCTCTGCCCCTCTGGCAGAGCACCAAAAGCAACGAATACAAGAGACGAAAAAACAGAAACCGACACCAATCATATTCCTCACATACTGGCCAGATACATTCGTCAAAGTATTGGTGTCACTACCACCTCCGTGAGAGCCTTCCCCGACGTCGCTGGATTCCAAATTCGTAGTTTTCTTCCTTTTTTTTTCCCCCTCATCATCGGCCCACAGTGTCCCAATCTTTTTTTTTTTTTTCCTGCCGAGCCTCCACGGGACCTCCGAAGTTTGCGGTATATCCTATTTTAGTATTTTCCCACTTTTCCAAACACCGAGAAAGGTAGTGGTGGTTTTACGTCAACAGTAGCTGAATCCACCCCTCACTTCCCTCTATGCTAGCCCTTACATTTACCTACGTTAGAAACTAAGTTCCTCATCAACCCAGAGTCCTTGTGTTCCAGAACAGCTTCTGCAATCATCTGACCAAACACGGCGTGTTTTACTTTTTCAATCTTTTTGTCAGTTTTTTAAATGAATGAGAAAAAAAAAAAAATCCGTTATATGTACAGTTGCATGGAGCCGCACTGCTGGTCACCAGAGCACACACACACATAATGAGAGATCACACGGAGTCCACACTGGAGACCAGAGATGCACAGTCCAGGTACGCGCAGCTTAGAAATTCCAACGAATTATCATATTATGATATTAAATAATTAAGCAGGTTTTTTTTTTTTTTTTCATTACAACGGAGTTATCATATTATGATATTAAATAATTAAGCAGGTTTTTTTTTTTTTTTTCATTACAACGGAG